GAAAAAAACAAGAGCAATGCTAGGAACCCTAGCCACGTGTACTCTCCAGCCAACTCTTGCATTTTCATTGGCCACGTTATGTTGGTTTTCCGGAGAGGTCATCATTTCATGGTTAAGTAAGCTTAGGTGGCCCAATAAAAAAGCATGTGTTGGCTGGAGAGTGAAGGAGGCGAGTGCTCCTAGTAGCTAGCATTGCCCAAAAAACAGCTAGCACTGCCCAAAAAACAACACCAATCACGTGTCAACATACTACCCATCAAAAAGGTACCCCTTCATTGTTTCACCATCCTTGGTTTTGCTTATCATTTCTTTTTTATCTATACAAGCTCGCTTTCTGATCCTTACCTACTCCTTTTTTTGGCAACAAATTTTATCCTTCTTTGCTTGAGCACTGAGCAGCAGCAACCAAAGCCTACTATGTAAGGCTGGCTCCACATGATTTGGGTTACCAAATAGATTTCCATCCCGCCAGTGCCTGAGATGTGAGCAGTGGCAGTGAGCAGCGGCACCTCGGCACCGCAGCAGTCCAAAATCTTTCCCTCCCCTGCGGCAAATTTCTGGAAATCTCTTCTTCAATTTTTGTGAAAGTAAAATCGAGATTTCAAACGATTTTACGAAAAAAATCGCGCTTTTAGGTTTTTATCATCCGATTTTATGAAAACTCAATTTTAAAGTAGATTTTACTCGAAATCCATACATAACATCGTAAAATCTTACGATTTTACGATATAAAATTCGAGTTTGACAACACTGACTCATAAGCCTTAAATTCCCTTTGCTCTTGTCAGCACCGAAGGTGAAAAGCTCAGCCCTCATGCCATCGGCAAAGCTTGGCCTTATTTCTGTGAGGAGGTAGCCCCACCGAGAGAAATAGGAGGAGCATCGCAGAGCTAGATTATGGAACAGGTATACTTTCAAAATTTTAGACTGGTTCATGTTATATTTTCAAAAAAAATGGTCAAATTTTGGCTTAAGTGAGGGATGGTTGTGGAAATAGATAAAAGGTGTTAACATTCGGTGAATACTGAAACATAAAAATTGAAAACCAAAAATTTCGGTACCCGAAACCGAAAAAAGGGGGTAATACTGGTATTGGCTTTAATCTTGAAAATCAATACCGAAAAATTTCAGTTACTGAAATATTGGTTTCGGTGGACACCGAAACTGATATTTGCCCACCCCTAGTTCTGCATAATAAGAAAGCAACGTAATTTCTAGATTTATTAAAATACTTTTAATCAAACTCTTTTTTATATTACTTTATTATTAATATCTTAATATTTTTAGTATCTAAATTAGATTTTTATTGTATAGTTTAATTTAAAAAATATTAAACTCTTTACCTATCTAAAATGATTCTTTATCTCTTGAAAGGCTTTATTTTGAAAAGGGAAAAAAGACATCAAATTTTGAGATTTTTTAAGTGTAGGAGAAAATTGTTTATGTTACTGAAGAATTGAATTCCTTTTAATTCACACAAAATACCATGGAAATTAATGAAAGTAACATATATAGAGAGTTTATTTTTTGGTTTGGATAGTCATGAAATTTTTTATTCAATTTGAGCGCATTTTAAAATTAATCTTA